GACCGTGACCGTGACCGTGACAGAAAACGGCCTCGTCGCGACCGAACTGAATCTCCTGTTGACAGTGACTACTCATCGCGACACCATTCTCGTCGTATAAAACGAAGCCGTGAAGACGAGATCCGTGATAAAGATCGCACAAGAGACAAACCCTCTTCATCATCAGCCAAGACCTCTGAACCGGAAAAAGACCCTCATACATTAGAGCGTGAAGCTCGCAACCGTGAACGTTTGTTGAAGGAGCAGCAACGGCGCGAAGCCATGCATGCAGACCGCGATGCTGGTAAACCCAGCCGTCGGCGCGACAGTCGTCAGGAGCGGCCGGCAGCTGGCGGTCGACGCCTCACTTACAAGTATGAAGACGACGAGAGCGATGCCGCTCGCGCGGCACGAGTAGAAAAAGAACGAGAAGCCAGCCGGTGGGCATAAAATCCCTTTATTTCTTCCTCATACTCCCCACCTACCTTTCGAGCCATATGACTTTCACTTTTCCCTCCCCATATCTTCCCCTTTCTTACAACAAAAGAGCATATAGAGCGTTCCAGGTATATTTCGTGGGTTTGGAGTGTTGTTCTTGCATGAAGGAGAGCGTGCATACTTAGTTCATGGATGTTGCTGTTATTTTGTTGACTTTCCGGTGGAGTTGACGAGTATCTACGCTGTCGTTCTTTGTAGATATACCTCCTGGGGATTTCTGATGGGATGAAATAGTGCCACTTACGGCAATTTATGAATCTAGATATCTTGCGTCAGGGCTTGTTGAGACAAATGAATCCAATATGTAATTGAGTAGATTGTCGCTGTGTCGACCTACGTATATATTTCCGTCGGCATACAACCATCAACCCGCGTAATGTGTGTGTGGCGCTGCACTCGGTTCTAAATACTATTTATCAGCCCTCTATTCATTTCATTTTCTTACCCTGTTCGGAATGTGAAGGAAAATCTCTAATGTCTACACGCGATTCAGCTAATGACGTCGTCCAGGAAAACATATATATTTATCATAACCGATTAACCACACATATCGTCAACTTCTATCATTTCCGCTCAAGAAAACCAGGTAGAACAAGAAACAAAGAAGCACAAAAATGGTATTTGCATTGACATTGCAATCATGCCGTCAATCATAATAGAAGGCATATAGCACGACATCGATGGCTATGGACAAAACGAGAGACGGTCTTTTGCAGAGGAATCATTCAGGAAGAATACAATTATTATAGATACAAAGAGAGAGATGGGCTGATTAACTCAGCCTGGCCTCAAGAGCCACGATCTTCTCGTTCAAGCTTTGTATCTGCTTCTCTTGGTTGGTCTCGAGGGACTCGATCGTCTTGGTCAGACTCTCGATCTGCTGCTTTTGTTCGTGGACTTCGTTCAGTAGAGGCCCGACCATATGTGTGAGCTTTTGGATTTCTCCATGGAGGGCGCTAGCAGCCGTATTGGTGACCTCGGGAATATTGAATCCAGAAGATGTATCAACCGGGGTGCTGACATTACTCTGGGCCTGTTATTATGGTTAGTTTGTGGTATGGCTTTTGGTTCAACCTTGAATGGTGCTTACTGGAACAGGGGTTGACGGTTTGGAAGGTGTCTGTGACTTGCTCTCTTCCCTTTGGTGCCATGGGCTGGTCTTGATTGGCGAGACAGCCTCTACAGGACGAGCTTCCCGCTCGACGGGCTTGGGTGCCTCGTCAAAGCTAGACTCCTCAGCCGTAGGCTCCGCCTCTTCCTCATCGGCAAACTTGTTCACCATGGCAGCCATGGAAGCCCCCTGCTCCTTCATGGACGGAGCAGGCTTATGTACCGGAGTCGGTTCGGGCTCCGGTGCCTTCTTCACCGGGGTCGGCTCTGCGGGCTTCGGCGCAGGTTCTGCTTGAGCTGCAGGAGCACCCAAGGTCTCCGTAGGCTTGTCTTGCACACCAGTAACCTCCTTGAGGCCCTCTCCTTCATACAGACTAGCCATGGAAATCTTCGGTGGGATGGCTTCCTTGCCGGCGAACCATTCGGATGGGCTCATGGCGGGTGTCAGGCCGATTGTAGGTGGATAGATATCATCCTGGAAGGACTCGGCACGGCGAGGAACGATGAAAGAGATCGGCTCAATGTAGGTATCGCCGACAGTCTTGAAGGCACGGGTTATCTCGTTCTCGTGCATGTTAACACCGCGCTTCGGCATGAAAGCAATACCACGCTGAGGATCGGCTGACTTGTATTCAGCGAGATATTCGAACTTGTCATTCTCCAATTCAAAATAACGAATGTTACCGTCACTAGATGGCGTTAGATCACTTTCAGATGTACCACAAGTCTGACTTACCCTCTGCCAGCCAAGTACAAGCACTGGGTACCATCGTCCCAGAAGGGCATGCAGACGCCAGAGATTGAGTCAAGAACCTTGAATCCGTTGATGGGCTCCGCAGGAGCGCGCATATCCCACAATGCGAGTTGGCGGTCGCTCATCCTGGAGAAACCGGTGGTCGCGATCCGGTCACGTTCTCCCAGCCATACGACACGGCTGTTCTTCGCACCCGAGTGCCCCTGGACCTCATGCGCGGGACGTTCCTGACGTGCATCCCAGATCCGGAGCTTCTTATCACGAGAGGTGGTGACCAGGAGGGAGCCATTGGCGCTCCAGGACTGCGAATAAACCATATCGCCCACGTTCAACGTGAGCTTGGCAGCACCGGCCTCAATATCCCAAATCTTGACAGTGAAGTCGCCGGAAGACGTAGCCAAGACATTTTCCGCCGCAGGGTTGAAGAGCACATGTCCGATTTTTCTGTAATGTTGTTAACCGTTTACTCCGTCCAAAGTATGAGTACGACAGGGTAGGCGCAGTGGTGAGGGACTGACTTGGGGTGACCGCTCAGCTTTCCGACAGGCGCGATATCCTTAACATCATCGGGGTCGACATCGGGGCGGAGGGTGAAGTTTTCAGGTACGCGCCACAGGAGAGCCTAAATAAAATTATTTAGTATGAGATTGGAACGCTCGGATAAGTCTCGCATTATACCTTGCCGTCATCGGAACCGGATGCAATCAGGTCATCGTTAAAAGGGTTCCTAGGTATGTTGGCTTTCTGGACGTGTGACTTGGATTGAAGAGGAAGTGACCGCTGCTCACCAGTCGGTATCCAAGACTGCTGCAGTGTGACCACGGAACAGAGGGATTCTCTCAGGCAGTTTGCCCCGCTCTTCCAGGGGAATAACAGCAAATGCACCACCTCCACCGGCTGCCCAGTTTACAGACAGGTATTTGGGGTTGACCTTGACTAGCCATTAGTTTATCTCGCGCGGACGGCTCAGGGGTGTCGGCGTGGAACGGAGGTAGGCGAACCTTGACGAGATTGCTGTCCCAGGCATTTGCGGACACGCGGAGGTTATCATAACATTGCTCCTACAGGCATTGTCAATAGGGCAACGGTATTGCGATGCCGAGAAATTGGCTGGGTACCTTTCTTGTGTTCCGCCCGAAGACGTGTCCTAAAATGATACCTGTCAGATTGCGGGCAACATCAAAAAGAGGGGAGGGTATGTGGTGGCAGCTCACGGTATTTAGAGGAACGGACGAAACGACCAGACATCACGCTGTCACAGATTGAGACTCGACAAAAACCGTGATCACGACAAAGGAAAAAAGCAAAACCGAACGGGAGGAGAGGAGCAATTGAAGGGCAACAACTATGAAACAGGGAAGCTGTCGGTCTGGGAAAGTCGACGCCGTCCACTCTTAGTCTGAAAGAAGGTCTTCGGTGGGACGACCCGCACGCGGGAGATGGATTCACTGGTGACGGTTGCAGGCAATGAATTATGGGGGCCCACGCAGTTTGATGATCAACTTTAGATTCAGTAACCGTTCAATTGTTGAGAACGAAGAGAAAAAAAAATATCGATCCTAACCCGGACAGATATCTCGTGACAGTGGTATACAGTCGGTATGATACCATGGTAACGCCGGTTGCTTCTGGCAAAACACCATTGTACAGAATTACTCAAGACGAGGGTAAGGTATCAAATGGATACGATACGCCTAGCCTTTTCTGGGACTAGCGTCTCCCCGCCAGAAAGTGGCTGAGTCAGCACCGCCCCGATGCCCAATTTGCTCAGTTTGTTTACCGCCTTGCGTTACTCCAGAAACCGGCGCTTGGATGGTAAACGACAAGCCCAAACTTCCAAACCAAACTCAACGTCCATCACTAGGTAAAGATTCCCTGGCGACTGACGACCCTCGCGCTACTCACTTACCATGCGGGACCCCTCCTCACTGCAATTTGTCGACAATTCATGGTGATTCGCTCTTCCCCGCTTTGACTCTTCGTCTGTTTGTATAGCTTGCAGTGTGTTTTTCTCTCCATTCTAGACGGTGGCTCCGAAAGCTCCTGCCTTCATCTCTCCGCTCTATCTGAGTATCCTCTTACCGGCACCAGCAATTGTTTATTTTTCGTACATGATGGATAATGAGAACGTGGTAATGATGCTCGATATGACAAACTTCAGTGCCCAGCCTCACTGACGCACTTCCAGACGCAATCACGAGCCCCTGCCCGCACACGCATACCCGCCGCTGGGCTCAAAGAAATGAGCTCGGCTAATACTAATTCGCGGTCAGGCATCCTGCCGCCTGGCTCAATCGCTAAAACATCGTCGCGTACGTGAGATAACAAGTAGGCTTAGCAGGACTGTAGCGCTCACAGAGACAGAACCGACTCGTCCGAGGAGTACTACACAAGGCGCCGAGACCACCAGAACTAGAGCAATGTCCACGACATTGTCAGGAAAACCTCATAGTCGTGCGAATCCCCATGCAGCGACCACCGTGACTAGATCCGCCTCCACCGCTTCGCGAACTACCAAAGCGTCCCACGCCACTGGATCTAGCATGCGACCCCACTCTGCATTATCACGCCCTCAGACTTCGCTCGCCGGCGCCCGGAGGCCCAACGGTCATACAATTGCCCGCCCAGCAACTTCGTTGGATACCCATAATGAGGAAGATTCAAGTATCTTGGGGAAGAGAAAGGGTAGGCGACAATTTTACTTTGATTCCTCTGATTTTGCTATTTTCGCGGCCCCGTCATTATCAGCAAGCGTGTATGAACGTGTCCCACAGGATCGGTCGGGAGGTCAGTCGTATTCTTCTAAAGAGTATGAAGAATTCTCACGCCCTGACCGTCGTGATGCTTTGGATCCGTCAATCATGGGCCCTCTCCGCGCCAGGATGCTGGACCCAAAGACTTTCCCAACCCATAGGCCATTCGTTCCCCTTGCCTTGAATACCCCTACTACGCCCACTGCATCATGCAAGCCCCCTTCACCGTCTAAAAATTCCTCAAAGAGGAAGGCTCCCCCTGTGCCCCAGTTCCTGACCAAAGATTCCATGATCACCACTTTTAACTGCTCTACAGGCACCGGATGGGACCAGGAAACACGCGAGAAGACGATGGAGGAGTTCTTCAACGCCTTTGTCTCCCGAGTAAGTCAGGCTGGCCAAGAGAGTTTCGGGCTCAAAGAAACCGTGGAGCTGTATAAATCAAGAGGTAATCGTCCAAGATCTACCAATAGGGTGGAAAGGTGCTCACACAGTTCAATCTGCAGTGAACGAGCTCGAACAGTCGCGAAAAGATCTCACCGAGGCAAACCTGGCCTTACGCGTCGAACTTGAATCAATGAAGGCTCGCATAGGAACAGCGGAAGGCGCTTTACAGGAGGCCCAGAAGGAACATGAACTCGCGATGGATGAGTTCAGTTCTCAGCAACGACTCGAAGTTGAGACTCTGAGAGCTGATAGCAAGAAGAAAATACAGACCATAACTGCGCAGCATGAAGACCAGCTCTCCGAGTTGAGACGGCGATTCGAGCGTGAAATGGACGACGAAAAGGCTTCGCGGCTCCGGGAAATCAATCAACTCACGTCTCAGACAGCCCTAGATACACAACGCTCCCAGATTGAGCTGGACAGGAAAGATCGGGAAATCGCCTCGCTCCAGAACGATGTGCAAGCCCTGCGACAAGAGATTGAGCAGGAGCGCAAGAGCACCCAGGGTCTCCGGCAGAACCTGGACACAGCCAGCAGCAACAGCGTGACTCTAGAGTCGTCGATTCGCGCGCTCAAGGCTCGAATTGAATTCCTGGAGTCCGGTCGCGAGGAGCAATCTCAAGCGTTTGAGCGGTTGAATCAGCAAATGATGGATGCCCTAGCCGAGACCAACGCCACTAAGGACAAGTTGCGGAAGGAGGAGACCCTCCGAAGGAAATTACACAATCAAGTTCAGGAGCTCAAGGGCAACATCCGGGTCTTCTGCCGTGTCCGACCCTCGTTAGAGACGGAGCCGCAGACGGGCGTGGCTCAGATTCAATACCCTGATGCATCGGAGGAATGCAAGGAGATTAATGTTGTGGGACTGGAAGAGAAGAGCAGCCTCGGTGCCATTACCAAGAAAAACAACAACTTTGCCTTTGACCGGGTATTCGGGCCATCTACCCAGAATGCGGAGGTATTCGATGAGATCAGCCAGCTTGTCCAAAGTGCGCTTGATGGGTACAACGTGTGCATTTTCTGCTATGGACAGACCGGGAGCGGTAAGACCCACACCATGTCTTCTTTGGATGGCATGATTCCACGGGCTGTACACCAAATCTACGAGACTGCTACTAGTCTCAAAGAAAAGGGTTGGAGGTATACTATGGAAGGGAACTTCGTAGAGGTGTACAATGAAAATCTGAACGATCTGTTGGGCAAGGCGGAGGAATTGGACAAGAAGAAGCACGAAATCCGGCACGACATGCAACGAGGCAAGACAACCATTACAGATGTTACCACTGTGCGCCTGGATTCGCCCGAGATGGTCGAAAGTATCCTCAAACGTGCTGCAGCCAATCGTTCGGTCGCTGCTACCAAGGCCAACGAGAGATCATCGCGGTCTCACTCCGTCTTCATCCTGAAGCTCATCGGCGAGAATGCCATCACCGGTGAGCGCAGCGAGGGAACGCTCAACCTGGTGGACTTGGCCGGTAGTGAGCGACTGAGCCACAGCGGTGCAACCGGCGAGCGGCTGCGGGAGACGCAGAATATAAACCGCAGTCTGAGCTGTTTAGGAGATGTGATTGCCGCATTAGGACAGGGCAAGGATGGCGGACACATCCCCTATCGCAACAGCAAAGTAAGTCCCCCTGACTGTTTCATCTGTAGTCAAGGTACTAACAAGTTATAGCTTACCTACCTCCTCCAGTTCTCCTTGGGAGGAAATTCGAAGACGCTCATGTTTGTCATGGTCAGTCCGCTGCAGGCACACCTGGCCGAGACCTTGACCAGCCTCAAGTTCGCCACGAAGGTGCACAACACCCACATTGGGACAGCCAAGCGACAGGCGCGCGTTCGTGATTGTTAATGATACCTTGGATGGTGATTGGCGTTAGATATCCCTGCCTTTAAGCCGGTGTTTGGAGTTCATCGTTGAAGATACACCCCTTTTCTACTTCTTTTAGGAATAATGTTTTCATGTACGGACTTGTTTAGCTCTCTTAATCTCAGACTTTGTTCTACCATGACTTCGTCTCAGTGTACACATATCCAAATCACATAGACAAGAATAAATAGGGCGGACATCCCGTAATGGCCGTTTCCTTTGCGCAATCTACGGTGGATGAAATCATATCTTTTATGTAGATGTGGCAGATCTGAGCTTGCTGTTGAGGGCTATCGTGCCATTTGAGAAAATCATGTCTAGTTCGACTTAGGTCAGTCAAGATATGTGAAGTGCTATCTATTTATCTGCAGCTAATAGGCCCGTCGATGGCCAAATTCAACTAGATGAGCGACCACCATCATTACAAACTACCAAAGTACCGATCGGCCTTCTCTCTCAGATCACGGGTCTTCTCCTCAATACTATCCTTCTGAAGGATTCCCTCTTCACAGATGAAGGCATCCACCATGTCCAGAGGAACCCATTCGAAGTAGGTATTCGCCACTGTGACAGACGAATTCTCCTGGTCCGACTTGCTGCCTCTCATCCCATTCTCTAGCACCTGCACACCCTTGACACCGTCGCTGCGCCAAGCACTTGACACCTCAAATGGATCATTGCCCTCGGCGAGTCCGTCGTCAATTACTCCGGCCGTTCCATTAATCTTCTCTACGTTGCTGAGCACGACAACCCGCACGCCTGGAGTGACATACTTCGCGCTGAGCACCAAAGGCAGGGATCCGGTTTTGTTGCTGACACCCTTGGTGGCGGAAATGCGGTCTGCACCGAGCAGGATGATATCGACGTCTCTGGCGGCCAGTGCAGCTGATGCATCGGTGTACATCGTGATATGCAGGTGTTTGTCGGGGGACTTCGACTGGGATTTGAACGCCGACAGGATCGACGAGGCCAGGCTGGCACCCTCGAAAAGCGGCCTCGACTCGAGGACCCGCAGTTCAAGTGTTTGAATCCCGAGCGCGTCGTATGCTTCCAAGATACTGTCCCGGATAGTCGAACTGGAGGATATGGTGAGCATGGTCAGCCGATCCTTTTGTGTGCCATTGGACGAAAAGTGGCACTGAAGGTAGGAGATGAAGGAATTTTTGACCTGCTGTGCAGTATCAGTGCGATTCCTCAGGTGGAAATCGATCAGAGCCAGGATCCGATCCCACTTCTGCTCGGCACCGGTCTTCTGCTCCATGATCTCTTCTATCTCCGCTAGAACAGATAGAACGGCGTTCTGCGTGGCTGCACCCATGCTTTCTCGTCCGTTCTTGACAAGATGCCATGCTGCCATTCGAACCATATCCCACCATTCCGCATCGAGGTGATTTTGCGTGTACACGATGAAGTCACGGAACACCGTGAGCGCTATCGCCGTCAATTCATGCGCGCCACTCTCATGGTCCGCTCGCAGTCGTTCCAGACCAGCCGCAAGAGCCTTTCCCGCTCGCTCGTTGGTTGTGCCCTCGAACCAGACCCGTCTTAAACTGTCTTGTAGACGTGGAACAGTGTTCAGGCTTTCGTCTCCGAGTACCGCGCGAGGATCGTACCACTGCCACCCTTCATGTTCCCAGTCAGTCCGAATAGCCTCTCCCCCCCGTCCCCCTTCTGCGGGGTCTTTGAGACGAAACGCGAACGGATGAATGGTCCATTCTCGGCCGATGGAGGGGTCGCTGAAGGTGAATGGCTTGCCGGTGCGCCAGAAGCTGAGATCCGATGGAGTGAGAGAGGTCTCTTCGCACAATTCACGCCATGCCGCCGCGAGAGGATCAGGATCAGTCGGATCGATGCTACCGGAGATAGGCGCAAGGTGATGGCTATAGGGAGGAGTTATGTTACTAACGGGGTACCAGGAACGGTTGGTTTGGAAGTCGCATCATACCGGTACGTTCTCACTTTCTCGCTCCGCTTGAACAACGCTACGGACGGCTTGGTAGACTGCCCTGGAGGGAAGCGAAAGATGAAAGAAGAGACGACGGCTCTCTTCGTCATGCTTTGGGATTGTTGGGTTCCCTGGGAGTCCTGTCCTTGTGTTGCCATTTCGGTGAGTGTCATGGTTGAGTGTGGAATAGATCTACCCCGCAGTAGATAATAAATCAATCGCAGACCTAAAGGTCATAGGGCGCATTTCATTTGAGGATGCCTGTGGATGGCATTGTAGCGGTGAGAGGATAGTAGATACATCAAGGCAATACGGCACAAGCTATAAATATGGAAGGAATGGTGAAGAGGAGGGTGGTATGATAGATACATACAATGTGATATGTTATGAGAGAAGAATGAAAACTGGTCAGTGCGCATTGTGATCATGATCACATCACACCTTTTTCATAACCCTAAGTCGGACGGATTCTCCAGCCATGGATTTTGCAAGAGACTTGAGTACACCCGTCGATATAAATAAACGAGGATACCAGACGATTACACGACTTTCCTCTATAACGAAAGAAATGAGCCACATAACACACCATGACGTCAACCCTCCGGCGAACTCTATACAACTCGAGATATCGCCCGCGACTGAACTGATCTCTCTGTCAATTCAACAGGTCAAACCTCTATTGTAGCTCCATATACTTCGTCTAATCACCCCCAAGAACCATGCCGACTTACCCTGGATCGTGTTACTGCCGGGATATCCAGTACGAACTGTCCCTCTCTTCACCCGATGATGCACGAACTTCCCTGTGTCACTGTAAAAGCTGCAAAGTACGCAAACACGGCAATAGGTGTTCTCTCTATCTTTTAATGGTGAATGTTACTAATGCTGGAATAGAAAGCTTTCGGAACAAATTACGGTCTAACTGCGAAGATCCCCAAAGACGCTCTCCGACTCACTAAAGGCGCCCCAAAGGAACATGTGGCCGACAATGGGTCTGGGTCGCTGATTCATCGCGAGTTTTGCTCGAATTGTGGCAGTTTTATCTGTGAATATGGGGTAGGGATACATGACACTATGCCGGCAGGATTCGATGCTGATGCTCGTAGGATACCGTCAAAGATCAGTTCCGCTACCTGTGCGTTGGGTCCTTGGATGATCCCGAGGCGCTGCCACCAAAGGGCGAGTTCTTCTGCAGCTCTAGGGTTAACTGGATGCCAGAGATTCCCGGTAAGTTTTCCGTATCACTCTGATGCGTATAGTTGCTGATAAGCTCAGACGTGTTTCACAAACAGAAGATTAAGGAGTGAGAAGGTTGCGGTCTAGACATAGGTCGTTATATACACATGTGGTGCCGTTTATGGTGTAAATAGGAAGGTTGATAGAAGCAAGCTATGATGATACCTCGGAGATGCTATGTACCACCATATCAGGCTGGATCAGCTTGTCCCGGATTGTAAGCGCATTCAAATAGTCGTTACTATCCACCCGACGATACCCATCTTCTATCGTTTTTTCTATCCCCGCGCTGACGTGACGCTTCGCCACACGGTCCCGTGCTTCTTGCAGATCTGTGTCAACGAATACACGGTAGTCAACCAGTCGTGCAATATCGCGCCACTCAGGCTCATCCAGGAGGAGGTAGTTGCCTTCAATGATGAGGATCGAAGCATCGCCCGATATCATGATACCGTCCTCCACTGGATCTTTGGTTTCGTGATGGAAGGCAGGCGCATAGATCGTTTCGTCAGAGAATGTATCTGTCCACTGCCGTAATTGGTGAACGAAGGCAACGAATCGGGCAGCATCAAAGGTCCACGGCGCTCCACGCCGGATATATGCCTCTTCTCGATTCGGGAGCTGGTCCAGTGTCGCCCGCGACAGGTGGAAGCCATCCATCGAGACCAGCTCAGTCTGGATAGGGGTTTGCCCTGAATTCAAACGCTGTGCAATGGCAGTTGCTGTTGTTGTTTTGCCAGAGCCGGGCACGCCGGCGATGGCGACGAGATATCGCTTCTTACCATGGGTTTTGGCCCGGTGGCGAATGATGTCCGCGATACGCGTGTACTCCTCTTCCATCTGTGTGTAACATTAGACGCGCGATTTACTTTCAAATAAGGTTATAGAAGAATGTATGTTGCGTCAGCGCGTAACTGCGTGGCGACTCACTATGAATAGTCGATGTCCTCAGCGATCGCGCAGACACGATAACCCCAACGAACCGACAATTGAATTGTTCGTCAAGAGGGTAATCCAAACTCTGTACGGCACGAGCTCAAATAGAAAATACCCCATCTTTGAAGTATGTCTGGGGGTGTGGAGAGACCGGCTCACAGTGCTCCGACAGCAATAACTTCAGTTTTACGGAGCTCTGTCCACCGTCACCCGAGCTTACTCAACGAGACCTTCTCTGCAGTTTAGAGCATCAGGTAACAAAGGTCTCGTGTTGAGATCATATGTAGGCGCTTGGCGTCTAGCCGAGGTTCTTTATCTCTGAGTAGTCTTCAACGTGGAAGGACCCCAGTATTGTCTGGGCCCGTCAATTATCCAGAAGGCGAAGAAAACTTATTGATGACAACCGTGAGATGTCAGGGATCATGTGAAGATTATATTTTTTTTGCAAGGATTTCTTGCTGGGGTACATCCACTCTCCCTCCGTGGAATGCATCACCGGGAATTATATCTTTTAAACTAATCTGCGTGACGAGAAAAGTGACGCCTATCTTATCACGGCGGTTAAGGAAAATGTATATTAATTTAATGTCGAAGCTTCCCCCACGATCATCCGCTAGTGTCAATCTCCCGTGAGCGCAATACTGTTTCTGTATGTGTGGAGCGCCGCTTTTTTGAACGTCTAGTCGCGCGCAAGGGAGGTAGGGGCGCCACATAGAAGCATAATACTTGCTCATCCAGGCAATGTGCGCATCGCGGTCGCTGAAGATCGCAGGCAACTCCCCGCGATTCACACGCCTTACATGGAAACGTTGAACGCTCTGTGTCCTCGCTTGCTTCTTCGCGCTGTTCGGCGTCCGGGCTTAGCTCTGACGGCCAAGAAGCATTCTTGTCTTTTTGACAGCTCGGCAGCTCCGCAAGGGCGGGACAGGCTTCTGCGGGACTGATAATCCAGGATGACCATAACCATTGCGAAAAGCGTCGGACGAAACATTGTTTGCTACAGTCATTGCTTCGAATGAAGGTGCACGACGTGGGGCTTTCCACCCTGTTGGCCATGACGGTTGATTTCATCGGACTGGTTTCGGAAGAGGGTAATGTGGAACAGGAACCGACTATATTGTCTCGATTAGGCGGGAATGTAACTTCAACCACCAAAAAATGGAATGTGCCCCTTGGCAGAATACCCACCGGTCAGGGGTTCTTTTCTTTTCCTTCTCTTTGCCTCACCTTCTCGTTCAAGCAAAGATGACCGGGTGCACTAAACCGTGTATAGATAGAGATGTCGAAATAGGCCAAGTTATCATAGAGAGATGCGTCGGATGGTATTGAAGACTGTCAGATACTATCTCCAATAGTATATAAGGAGAGGAAGAAAAGTGACAGTGCGGAGAGACGAGGGACAAAGACAAACGACGTGGAGGAAAGAACAAAAGAGAGGGAGAATGCCGACGAGGGAGTTTAAGGGAATCAACGTATATCCATGACCCTTGGCAAGAATGACAAGTCACGGTGCAAGCCACGGTCTGGGCCTGTGATCATTCATCGTGTGGTTGCTGCCAGCGCATTGATCAAGCAATCAATAATAGTCAAATAGTCAAATGGATCAATAGATTTGTATTTCAGATGGGCAAAGATCAACATTACGTCAACCACCTGACCGTGTATGAGCCTCGTATTGAGGTACTTGTACGATACATCGTTGGAGGGGTAATTTATGTAGGGATAGATCTCGTATGTAGGGACACCTTCAAAGATGGTTGGTAAGATACCAGAAGGGCTGTGGTATGAAAAGAACCAGTTTGACCGGGTAAAAGTTCCGAGACCTCCAGTCCAATCGATCCCGACAGGGACTAGTCTGACTTCCCTTTGCCATTTCAGGTTTCGAGAATCCACCTCAAGCGATCTGATTTTTATCAGCCGTTAGATTTTTTTTTTTTACTCGCTTCTCCAACTGATGGGGCTGATATTGATGGAGGCTAAGTAGAATCAGGTGAACCCAAGGAGACCGTGACGTAATGATTTGGTCTGGCTTGCTACATGTTGTTGGAGGCTAGGACTCTCACTGGTGTTGTTATTCACCCCCTGTCCTTTCCTTTTCTTCCCTTATTATCGTTTTTGTTATATTTGGATTCCTTGAGAAACAGCCCGCTATCGGACCTTGTCGGACACGCATCCCTGTCTGGTGCCCCTTGATTTGTGCATTATTCCCGCAGTTGGACGCTTGCTGCAGGTCCAAGCGGCCACGCCACATTGACAGGGCTCTGTTCTGACCACCCTATAAGATAACTTCTTAATCTTCATCTTCGACTTGGACGATCACTTCTCACCCCACGTCCTTCTCAAGTAACACGAATTAGTAAATCTTTGAACAAAGTACTGAACGGTAATTGGCCGCCATCAAGGCTAAGAGGAGAAGCACGGGCATACCTCCCTTCCCCGGCGGATAAGCTTTCCCCGTAATTGAATCTCAGTCAGTAGGTGTGCCTATCAATAGAATTGCCCTTTTCCTTTGTGTTCAACAAGTTTGTCATACTGTGTCCTGGCCGAGAAACCTGGAAGTATCACGGCAACTACTGAGTAACATTGACTTTTTCATGCGGATCACACCGGCTGAGCGAAGCAGACTCCAATTGTAATATCGCGAAAGGGCAGCACAATGTTCCAGAACGCGGCTGTACCCGATCCATGCTCCTTGGCCCTACGGAGTACACAATTACTTATTTGAAGTGTGGAACACTTACCCCAAAGCCCGAAAGTCCGAGACTGCGACAATCCTCTCGGGACTCGGAAGAGCGCGTCTCGGATCGTGTAACAGTATTGTGACACTTGACATCAAAGTGAGTACAGAAAAGTTGAACTAAAAAGGACTTGAAAAAAACAATATTTGTCCAACTCATTGACTTGCAGTTGGTATTCTTTACTAATTAGTTGAATTTTTGTGTCACGGAGTCCGGCAACTCCTTCAGGCTTCCCCGCATGCGCCATTCGGGTACTAGTACAGAGTATATACTAACTAGTATCCTATCAAACTTTCATCACTGAAAGACAATTCATGAATCCCGTTCCAGTAATTTATACGTCACACAGATGCGAGTCATGTACACAGTAATCACATCACGTGGGTCATGAATCGACTGAGGCACTAACACCCTGTCACATTGCAACAGCAAGGACGGAGTATGGCTATCACTCTTCCAGTGAATGCACTACATCTGGAGCTTCTTCTGAGGTGTCTCTGATCATATCATATGGCCTGGAATCGAAATGAACACTTACTAGATCAGTATGTAATGATCAGAAGCCTCAAGAATAGAAACTACTTACACCTTGAATGTCGGCTCTGTAGTCTGCTGATGGACCGCGTGCGACCCTTCCAAAGCTTGCGGTTCGTCGTCATGTATCTCCTCGGCGTCTCGAGCTCCCTCGGAAGCACGGCGACTTCTCAGCGCACTATTGGAGTCGACATCGTTAACTTTGTCTATTCCTGTTCCTCAATGTGTCACGAACTTACGCTTGATAGCTACGCATGGCATGTATCCTCTGTTCAATAGAGGATGCAATTTCGTTGTCGTCATGTGAATAAATGTGGGACATTGTGGGTATCTGATTTATTTGCTTGCATTATACACTAGAACACAAATATCCAAGACTTTACAACGGGAGTGTATGACTTTATTATACTGCCTCCGGGTTACCTGGTACATCAGATAGCCGGTCTCATGACCACGACAACGTTCCAGGACGATTTCAATGCTGTACTACGGACGACAGAAAATATCTCTACCCTCACATGGTCATTGGAGCGGATCTCCATCGAAATTACTTCATTGCTGGCTCATAGTGGTATGACGCCCATATTTTGAGTATCGGGACGACGTCGAACCGGAACTTCAACCATGGTTCATCGAGCATTTTGCCTGTCGTGGGCTGACCTCATCCATATTGGATGCACCTATCACAGCAACGTTCACATATCGATGGCTGGCTCACGCTAAGATTGAGGAGTTTGCAACATCACCTAACTATGTTCTTAGATTCAGGTTGCTTTGATGCGAGGGCTTATTAATAATCAAGTCAGTGTGGCCGAGTGGTTAAGGCGATAGACTAGAAATCTATTGGGTTCGCCCGCACAGGTTCAAATCCTGTCGCTGACGTATCTTTTTAGCTTTTTTGTTCATTCATTCGTTCTAAGGGCATAACCAACGTACTCTGGAGCAGATCCAGTTCCCTTTGCATTGAGCACTTTGTTTATGCGGGATTTTTATTGTAATTGCACCCTTTGGCTGGAGTCTTGCCTGCTGATAGTAACAGGTCGAAAGTCTACCAGAAAGAAGCTGGCCATCACCAACTTGAGATTACGCGATACTGTATATGAGTATTACAGCGGCTCCCTCCGTGCAACAATACCATAATCGCGCATTCAAAGGCAACGCATCAGGCTTCATGCTTAAAACAACCATGGCCTGATTTGGTCTTCAACCCAGCGATGTAACCGGCCCTATCTGGGATCCAAGCACCGTACTCATCACTAATATAACAGCGAGAACAGGAAAGAGGAGTACCTTCTGAACTGCACTGGGAGATAACTGGTGTTGAGCTCGACGGACGGGCCAAGGTCTGCAAGGACTGAGGGAGATTAACAATGTAGGAATATTTGAGGTTGAGGACGGCGGAGGCGACAACACAAATTGGCAATGCAATCGAAGATATTGTTTAACAAGAAAGGATATGGATTTACATGAACAGAGACGAACTGCTTTCTCAGACACTGCTCCGGTCTAGAAGGTGGAACTCAGCCATCACTTTCAACAGAACCTGGACTAGTACACAAGGAGGGCGTTGTCTGTTGAGGATGTAACGTAACTGCGGGTCTCACTGAACACAACAGTGACTTGAAGTCTGCACTACTCCATACTCTGTAGTATCGTTAACGGGAAACTAGTGACTACCATAGCCACCATCAAAAAAAAAAGTCAAAAAGAAACGTCAGCGACAGGATTTGAACCTGTGCGGGCGAACCCAATAGATTTCTAGTCTATCGCCTTAACCACTCGGCCACACTGACTTGATTGATGATTTACTTGAATTTATTTTGTTACAGAGGGGAAATCATACAGAGAGTCAAGTATGAAATTAAACCATAGATTCTGGACATGTCTTGAAGTTTTACGTCGGCTGTCTTTACACTTGTCTTTGCACTGGGGCAGGGAAAAAGAATCTTGAAATTGCTAAAGGTAAATTACCTAAGATCCTTTAAATAACTTATGTCTTGCTTGGGTACACCTCTGTATTAATCAGAGCCTAACATAGAAGTCACCTCGGCGTATCTGATTTAGGCTATATCTAGAGCATTACCCAGGCGGCAGCTATGAGCATGGCCATAACTGAGACATGCGGGCTGGCGCTAAGCATGAATGCTGAGTTCTTAGAGCTGTTCTCCTCTTCGTCGGGGTTCTCTTCTGTCACGACTTTCAAACATGTCATCTGGGAAGAGGCTCTATCCACCAGGCTGCTATTGCCCTTACCAACAAACACAGTCAACACCGGTGTGATTTTCCAGGCCTCTTGGTACATCGAAGCCACGGTATAGTTTCCCTGTATCATAGTATCCTATATCAGCCTATACTTCCAGGAAATATACTTGACACTAGGGAAGACGGGTCAAATTAAATATATATATCACGTACCATAGCAGTGATCTCCGTGATCAAGGACAAACCATCAGACTTGGGCTCAATAGGCCAACAATCCGTCGAGTTTTTCACAGTCGAAAGATCTCCAAGCGAGGTAACGGTAAAGTTCCCCAAACCCTTACCCTTCCCACCGAGATCCCCACATCCCTCAAATGTATTCTTCTTGAGCTCGCGCTCCAACGCCGCGCACACATTCCCACTCGAAGTGGCATTAGTAACGCTGCGCGCCCGTTCCGTAAGCGTATCGATGCACCTCTGCTCAATGATGTCTGGACAAGTACCACGTGCCGCTTGGACATCGGTGATATTTCCGTCCTTGCCTGTTTTTATGGGGCCGTCGAATTGTTTCTCAGGGGGGTCGTTGAAGGTCACGACACAGCCATTTAAGTCTTTGACGTCGAGCTCTGACGGCGTTCCAAGGTAATATGCTGAGTTAAATGGCCTCGTTCCCTCCTCGCCGTGTGAAATGTTGACCCCCTTGATAAGAGATAGGCCTTCGAGTGTTGAAGGGACGTCGGGGATGCGAGCTAGACCGATACCTAGGAATGTCTTGTCGCCGACTGTGCAACGATCATAGGAGCGTTCCTTGGGACATGACACTTCATCACAGCCTACAAGGCTTTCGGAGAGTTTGGTATCCGCAGCATGGCCATCGGTAAGAAGTAATGAAAGGAGAAGGACAACGTTGGCTGGTTTTATGCGGACCATTGTGTTGTTGCGTTATTATCAAATTGTGCTAACTGCAAGGGAAGGCTCGAGAGAAAGAAGTCTGGCATTGAGGGCATTCTACATTCGCCAGAGTCAGTATATATAGCTATTTTATGTAAGGTACGGAGGCTTATGTTCATTGAAATGACATCAGCCCTAATTGGCAACAGCGGAGAGCCTTGGCGTAAGGATGGCGGAGCACCAAATCGGATACAGCCGCAGGGTCAGATGGCTGAACAGGTATAGATCAGCAGCACTTAGGGCTAGGCCGACATCATACGGGGTACCTGATGTCTGTTGGCTTACATTTTCGGGGCAAGTACTGCGAGTGGATACTGACATGTAGACGATGTCACGAATTAAATACATACTTGGCCCCTTCGTGAGGATCTGTCAGGTGGCTCTGCTTTCTCCTTCAGCCACTTCCTCGATCTTGCCCCGGACTATGGGAGAATCAACAAGTCGTATTGGCCTGATTGGGCACTTTCGTGAGTGAGGAACTAGAGTTCGCCTCGGGAAATGCCCGGATTGTCTGGTTTTCTAGGTAGATCGGAAGTTTCGGCATAATGCTTGCTATTATTCATGGCTTTCTCTATAGTCCGCTTAGCTGAGACGACTGATCACCTCATATGAACGTGAGTTTTCAAGCTATATAGCTAAGGAAACACCTTACCTTGGCTAGCATAGGATTTCAGCAAGGCTTAGCCGTAAGACAGCATGTAGTTGATGTACAGCACAAACCTTTGTGCACAAATTTATGATAATCCGAGACTAGCCGATCATTTGGGGGCCGGGCAATATTTGACGAGATTTCGAAATGCCAAGCTATGTATCTCGATCTTTGCGGACTACATACTTCTGTGGGGTCCAAATGCTCTGGAGAGTTTGCAACAGACTCGCTTGGAGTGACATGGCGTCGAAGGGTTCAAGACATACGTCATTAGCACTATGGCCCTTCATGGATTGCGCCCAAATGAATGGGAAAAGGCTATATACAGATGTAACCTTACTACTGACTCACAGAAGAAGACTCTCTGCAGTTTTAAGCGCACATAGAGTGATAGGAGTTACTGCTCTACGCTGTATTTAGAGTCTCTCAACTTACAATAGCGATCAAGTGTTCGCAATTGGAGCAAGAAGTCTTGAGTGATGAGAGAATCAAGCCCTCGAGTGCACAACACTTCTACTTTTCTTCTAGTCGAACGTCAATCATGTCTTAGCTAAAGAACTAACTGCTA